ACCAGACAAGAACTGGAAGAACAGGGCATTGATCTATCATGGTGGCCACACCTGCAAATTCAAACGAGATATGAAAAAGATGTTAAAACATCTGGATTTTACAAAGAACAGACAGAATTTGATCAGATATTATTGACATCAGATGAAAAATTGATTAAGAAATTGTATAAATATATGTTAAATTTAAAGATGGAAGAGGAACAAGTTAAAGAAACAATGATAATATGGGCAAAAAGCTTTGGGCATAACATAGAGTTAGACAACTGGCAAAGCTTTTGGGAAAGAAATTCTAAAATAACAAAGGCGGCAGCTTACAAAGAAAACCTATATAAAATGTTTTACTGATGGCACTTAACACCTGTGAGGTTAGTGAAAATATTTAAAAATATGTCTAGTAATTGTTGGAAATGTAGACAAAAAACAGGCACATATTATCATCTTTGGTGGACATGCCCTAAAGCCAAAAGATTTTGGTCAAGAATACATGGTTAGAGAAAATGACTAAAAAACACATAGATTTTAAGCCAGAATTATTTTCGTTAGGTATAATTGTAGGAAATTATGAGAAGGAATATGTATACTTAATGTTACATGTGTTAACTGCAGCGAGAATTGTATTTGCTCAACATTGGAAAGATGAAGAATTACCAGCTGAGGAAGAGATAATTAAGAAAATTTTAGACTGTGCAAAAATGGACAGACTGACACTGAAATGAAAGAGAAAGAAGATTCAGAATACTTTAGAACAGACATGTCAAACTCACGACGTCACGTGACGTCACACAACGTATCGGGACAGTTTTGCTATTGCCGGCAATGGGGTGGGTGCAGCTTCCATGTGACGCGTCCGGCCTGTGGGCTGGCAGTTTGACACCCCTGCTTTAGAATATGGGATACATTTTATCAATGGCTAAAAAAAATGAGGTAGGGAGAAAGGAATTTAACATGTATTAGTAAGCTAAATATTGAAACCCGGACAATAAGTTGCTGATAAAATATTAAGCATTTGTGACCATAAAAAATTAATAAAATATTGAAAAAAATTACTCCAAAACCAATCAATAAAGTAGATACTTACATGTATTTAAAAAATATTGATAAAAACGCAACATAATGTAAGGCAGGGGTGTCAAACTCAATTTCATTGAGGGCCGCATCAGCATTGCGGTTGCCCTTGGGGGGGCGGGTGTGTGTGGCCAGGATGGGTGCGGCCTACTGGGTAGGTGCGGATGGAGTGGGTGTGGCCTACTGGGTGGGCGTGGCCAACTCTACATCATTCGCGTCAAGGGTGCCTGTTGGGGCCTGGGCAGGAGAGGGACAGATCTGAGGGTCTCTGGCAGGAAGGAAAATTGAAAGACAGACAAGATTTACAATGACAAGGTATTGACTTAGCATGATGGCCATCTTTGCAAATTCAAACAAGATATAAAAAAGATGCAAAGACAACGGGATTTTATAAAGAACAGACAGAATTTGATGAAATATTATTAAAAACAGATGAAAATCTGATCAAGAAACTTTACAGATTTCTATTAAACTTGAAGATGGAAGAAGAACAAGTAAAAGAAACAATGATAACATGGGCAAAAAACTTTGGATATTCTATAGATTTGGAAGACTGGCAAAAATTATGGGATAGAAACATCAAATTGACTAAAGCAGCTTCATATAAAGAAAATTTGTATAAAATGTTTTATAGATGGCATATGACACCAGTAAGATTAGCTAAAATGTTTAAAAATACTTTGAATAATTGCTGGAAATGTAAACAAAGGCCAGGTACTTATTACCATATCTGGTGTGTATGCCCTAAAGCGAAAAAGTTCTGGCTTAAGATACATACATGGCTGGAAAAGATGACTAAAATACAGATAGAATTTAAACCAGAACTGTTTTTGTTAGGAATATTAGGAGCTAAGTACGGGAAGGAGAATCAGTATTTAATATTGCATGTATTGACAACAGCGAGAATAGTATTTGCCCAATACTGGAAAAATGAAAACTTACCAACTGAAGAGATCTTAATTAAGAAAATTTTAGAATGTGCAGAAATGGATAGATTAACCTTAGAGATTAAAGAGAAAGATTCAGTTTATTTTAAAACATGGGATAAATTTTATCAATGGTTAGAAAAACGAACTAGTGAGAAATGAATGTGATATGTTACTTTGAATATATATTAGTAAGAAGAATGATATGTATTGACCAACTGATACTATTTATGATTATTGTTTATCATATTCACCACAGCTATTTACTATTATATTAATTAGTATTAACTGAACATAATGTTGTTCCCAATCCTGTCCCAACTCCAACCCCAATCCCGACCCTAACCCTACCCCGAACCTTAATCCCTATCCTGGTCCTATTTCTTCCCCAACCTTATAAAACTCAATAAAAACCTTTATTTAAAAAAAAGTTGCCAAAGCTGAGAAACACTGATTAAATCAACTACTTTTGATTCTTAGAACTGCTTTTTTAAAGCTTATTTTCAATTTTTTTTTGGAAAAAAGAAAAATAACCTCTGTCCTTTGTATGGGCAATGTTGAATGCTTGGCTCAAGAACCTAAATAAATACCTTTGACATGATCTATTATGGAGGACAACTGTTTCTGAAAGGGTCACAACTTAAGATACAAGGCAGGTAAAAAGTAAAAAATACATCTCAATATAATATTCAAAAGAGCATTTCTGAACAAGACATTTATCAGGTATGGCCTGGCACTGGAAGTACATTGTTTAGAGTTTAGGACATTACAATGAAATAAAGGTAGACAAATCTACAAATTACATGTCAGGTGTTTATCTATATTACATTAAATTACAATTCCTATAACCCTGATCCAGTTCATGCTAGTGGGAATTTAAGGGAGTTGTAATCCAACATTTCACATTGCTTACCTCTGTACTATAATATAAAAAGGATCTTACAGCTTTTGAATCTTGGAAGAGTAAGTCCTTTTCTTAGCAACCAGTTGCATCTCTGTGGGGAGCCAATTTCTGCAGGATACAACAGTCTATGTTCTAAGTAAGGTAAAGTTAAGGAACTAAACAAAAAATATTTTAAATACTTGAGTGCTTTTAAGTCTTTGTTCACTCCTTATATTATTTGAACTATTTCTCAGTCTAACTACAATGCATTCTTCAAAACTGATGAAGCACTTAATCACTGCACTGCAAATTCAAACTATACCCAGAGGCAGTGCACATGCAAATATTACTGGATGAGAGGCAAACCTTTTTAAGGAATCTAATCTGACCTGCCACTAAGCAAAAATAAAATTATATAAATCATCTTATGAAATTATATTTTCAATTAATTTCTGGATAAAATTGAAATAAATAACTACTCCGATACATTCAAGGATATGAATTGCCATGAAATTAAGTCAAGCCTCAGTATAAGAATATTGACTATTCATACTGAATGGAACTGAAAACATTTAAGTCCTTAGATGGAACTATACAACTTTAATGGAGTGATTCGGATATACGTTTTTTCTAAATTAAAAGAATAAGTGAATATACATGAAAACCACCTAGCATCCTTTGTTATCCAGAACAAGAAAGAGGCAGAAATTTTGTTGTTCTTGCATTCTAAGTATCTTTCTTCCATGACAGTAAATTTAAAAACTTTATTGGCTGACTGGCTTCCTCAACTGTTCTAGAGAAACACCTGAAATGTCTTTAGCCACCAGAAACTGAAAGGCAGGAATCTGACGAATATAATTTTTGGCTTAGACAATTAAAGCCAAGAAAAAACTGCAGAAAGTTACACATAACTAGTAGCAAGTTATAATATTAAGAACTGAAGTTTTGCATAAACACCATGTGAAAATCATACATTTTAATTTTAATGTTATTTATATGGAAAACATTGGGGTTCGGAAAAAAGTAGTCTCCTGTCTATCAAGTTTAACTCCTAGTGACTTCCCATAATGTTTTGAATTTCCAGTTCATCCTATAACCTTGATATTTCTTGGAGGCTTCCATTTCAGGCCTAAACTTGTTTCGTTTCCAAAATTTAACACATATTTTAAGATGGTAGCCTAAAAAAAAAAAGTGCCCTCTCTCTCACCCATACACAAAGGATTCGCAGGTTCTTACCAAAGCATTTTAACATTCTTTTCATTATTAAGCTGAATTATAGCAGTTACATACAACACTGAGGTCAAAAATTGAAATGCAAAATGTGGAGCTTGCAGTAGCATCTACAGTTCGGCGAGAGAAAGCATATGCTATAGAAACAGGATTTTTAATCAATTACCAGTAAATGTTATTTAGGAAGGAATATATTGTAGGCTTGGAAAAGTCTTTGGTGATAATGTAATCCAGGAATATTAATCTAATCCAGGCAAGTGCGTATTCTGCTGGGGCAAATAATAAGGAATAAACATTATGCAAATGTCACAACTTACCGTAAATACTTGTGTCTAACTTTGGATTGCAAGTACCTAATGGCAGTATCTGCATGATGATATTGTGCATGTTTAATCATTTTGGTATCGTCATGTTTGTTGCAGATGCCATTACCTGTAAGTATTTTGGATTACAGCTTCCAACAGTCGCTGTAACATTGACTGCAAGGTCTACAATGCAAGATGAAACTACAACATCTTTAGGAAATAGTCATCCAATTATTTTTTTTTACTCCTTTCAGCAACATAGTCAAGGAAGTCAATTCCATCAACAAATAGCTAATTCCATTCAAAATACTTTCTAAAGTTTAACCAAAATGTGTTTCATTCAATTTTTACTTCTAGATTCTGCCTCTGCTTTCAGAAGCAACAAAGAACTAGCGCAGTCAATGCTCCATGTGACCCCATATATTTAAAGTTATTATGTTTAATTTTCTTTCCATTAAGCTAAAGTAGTTGAATTTTATAGATAAGCCATCTGAATGAACATCATTACACCATAATTCTACTTTCCTTGGATTGTCAAACATCCCCAAAGAATATGATTCCATTTACATTTTTAGCATATTGGTCACTTACCCTAACAGGTGGACTTCGTGCCTGTACTCTCTGTTGCTGGACATTTTGAGAATTATGTAGGTCTTTTTGAATGTAATTAGCAACAGTGCTAGTTTGGGCTCTTAATAAATTTGTGCATGTCATTAAATTAGTTGATTTCTGAGGCCTTTGTTTGATGCCATCTAGTAGTCGAACAAGCAAAATATTACTAGGAAGTTCATCAACATTGCAGTCTACTAACGTCCTACATTCAGGACAACGAAGCTCACTGCGTGAGTTCACAATGCCCAAGAGACATCTTTTACAAAATGTATGTTGACAAGGCAAGACTTTTGCAGAAGCATCCAGACGTTCTAAACAGACAGGACACTCCAACAGATCCAATAAGACTGACTCATCCATTTTATTTAGTTAACTGAGAAATAATTCCTATTTTTTCTGAACTCGTTAAGCAATTCATGTTATATCCATGCCTCTTCACTCTTCTTTCTGAAAATTTTAAAAGGGAAAAAGAACATTAATACAAAAGAAAATGGAGAATGGCATTTCAACAAAAGCAAAAATGTTGTTTCTTTTGAGACAGCCTAACAAATCAATAACTTTAAAAACAAAACTTTTTATAAGCAAAAATCCTTTAAAAGTATTCTCGTCTAAAATCCAGGTTTCATTGCTTTAATATTTACCTGGTGACATGATATATTTGGGGAATACATTTTCATAATAGTTTTTTATATCAACTTGGAAGGAAGTGTGTAGTGGGGTGCCCCAGGGCTCTGTTCTGGACCCAATACTCTTCAATATCTTCATCAATGATTTGGATGAGGGAACAGATGGGGAACTCATCAAATTTGCAGATGACACCAAGCTGGCAGGAATAGCCAACAATCCAGAAGATAGGCTTAAGATACAGAAGTATCTTGACAGATGTGAACATTGGGCGCTATCTAACAAAATGAAATTCAATGGTGAAAAAAGTAAGGTTCTACATTTAGGCAAGAAAAACCAAATGCACAGGTACAGTATAGGTGGTACTTTGCTCAGTAATAGTAACTGTGTGAGGGATCTTGAAGTCCTAGTGGACAATCACTTAAATATGAGACAGCAGTGTGCTGCAGCTGCCAAAAAAGTCAACACAGTGCTTAACAGAGGGATAAAATCAACATCATGTGAAGTATTAATACCACTTTATAACGCCTTGGTAAGGCCACACTTGGAATACTGCATCCAGTATTGGTCACCACAATGTAAAAACGGTTGCTGGAATTATGTCTAGTTTAATGAAGAGAAGGACTAGAGGTGACATGATAGCAGTGTTCCACTATCTCAGGGGTTGCCACAAAGAAGAGGGAGTCAAGCTATTCTCAAAAGTACCTGAAAGCAAGACAAGAAGCAACGGATGGAAACTAATCAAAGAGAGAAGCAATCTAGAACTGAGGAGAAATTTCCTGACAGTTAGAACAATTAATCAGTGGAACAACCTGCCTCCAGAAGTTGTGAATGCTCCAACACTGGAAGTTTTTAAGCAGAGACTGGACAACCATTTAACTGAAATGGTATAGGGTTTCCTGCCTAAGCGGGGGGGTTGGACTAGAAGACCTCCAAGGTCCTTTCCAACTCTATTATTATTATTATTATTATTATTATTATTATTATTATTATTATTATTATTATTATTATTATTATTATTANAGTTGTGAATGCTCCAACACTGGAAGTTTTTAAGCAGAGACTGGACAACCATTTAACTGAAATGGTATAGGGTTTCCTGCCTAAGCGGGGGGGTTGGACTAGAAGACCTCCAAGGTCCTTTCCAACTCTATTATTATTATTATTATTATTATTATTATTATTATTATTATTATTATTATTATTATTATTATTATTATTATTATTATTAATAATCTTTCTCTACAGCTTCTATAAAGACAAAATCTTGCACACTAGCGATGTAAAAGGACAAATCTTATTAATACCTCCTTAACTGAAATAGCATCAAAAAGGATTGTTATGCGAGCTTCCTGTGGCGAGGCGCCGCCGGAGGAGGCTTTTTCCTGAGCCTCCAGCCCGGGACTGCGTCAAAGCCGTCAAAACAGCGTGGATCAGCTGTTTTGCGGCTCGGAACTTTCTCCCCGGGCGAAGGGGAGAAAGTGAGTTTGGCTGGGATAGGGGTTGAGTTCCCTAATCCCCCCAGGAGCGTTTCTGGGGGGGTTTAGGTGAGAACTCCCCCGGAGTCCTAGCCTCTTCTCCGCAGCTCGGTGTGCTTTCGTTCCTTGGAGCGAAGCCAGACGTCGCTGCCACTGCTGTTACAATGTAGTTGCTTGTGAGTAACTTTTGAAACAGACGGAATCTGACAGGGGATCTTTATTTTAGTTAAAAAGTGACTTTAACTCGAAGATTTATTGGGATTTTATTGCCTGCTATAAATGAAAGTGACAAGAAAATGGCCGCGGAAGCATTCCTTTCTTCTTAACAAAAGGAAAACTTTCACTTTCTTTCCGGGTGTGGATTTTAATGGATTTTAATTTTTTTTTTCAATTTAAAATCAAGTTTTTTTAAGTTTATATTTGCTGTGACTTTTAAAAGAAAAGAAAAATACTTTGGCAAAATGGCTTCAAAACGTACTGTTCCTGCGTTGTCTAAAACAGCTATTTCTTCTCCTGTGGTGCAAACTCAACAACAAAAACCTAGATCTCCCCCACAAACACCTCCTCCCTCCATTACACTTAAAGATTTACAAGAGGCTCTAGCCAAGTCCTCACTGCAGACTTTGAAACAAACAGAAGAACTTTTGGATAAGAAAAATCAGGAACTTTGTGAAAATTTATCACAAATTTTTCAAGGACTTGTCACTCACATTGATCGAGTAGAGGGACGAGTGGACGAGTTAGTGGAGAAAGTG